ATTTTACCACATTTTGCTGCATTTTTCAGCATTAAAGCATTTTTACAGCTAAAAAACTCCTCTAGAAACCCACTAGTCCTGGGTTTTTTTCCAGCCAAAAAACGCCCCTGCCAAAAAACATTGATTACAGTCTACAGGTGAAACTCAAAAAATTAGAATATTGTGCAAAAGTTCATTTATTTCAGTAATGCAACTTAAAAGGTGAAACTAATATATGAGATAGACTCATTACATGCAAAGCAAGATAGTTCAAGCCATGATTTGTCATAATTGTAATGATTATGGCTTACAGCTCATGAAAACCCCAAATCCACAATCTCAGAAAATTAGAATATTGTGAAAAGGTGCAATATTCTCGGCTCTAAGTGTCCCACTCTAATCAGCTAATTAAGCCATAACACCTGCAAAGGGTTCCTGAGCCTTTAAATGGTCTCTCAGTCTGGTTCAGTAGGAATCACAATCATGGGAAAGACTGCTGACCTGACAGTTGTGCAGAAAACCATCATTGACATCCTCCATAAGGAGGGAAAGCCTCAAAAGGTAATTGCAGAAGAAGTTGGATGTTCCCAAAGTGCTGTATCAAAGCACATTATTAGAAATTTATGTGGAAGGGAAAAGTGTGGAAGTAAAAGGTGCAGCAGGGGGATGACCGCAGCTTGGAGAGGATTGTCAGGAAAAGGCCATTCAAAAGTGTTGGGGACTTTCACAAGGAGTGGACTGAGGCTGGAGTCAGTGCATCAAGAGCCACCACACACAGACGGATCCTGGACATGGCTTCAAATGTCGTATTCCTCTTGTCAAGCCGCTCCTGAACAACAAACAATGTCAGAAGCGTCTTACCTGGGCTAAAGAAAAACAGACCTGGTCTGTTGCTCAGTGGTCCAAAGTCCTCATTTGGAAACCAAGGACCCAGAGTATGGAGGAAGAATGGAGAGGCACACACTGCAAGATGCTTGAAGTCCGGTGTTAAGTTTCCACAGTCTGTGTTGATATGTGGAGCCATGTCATCTGCCGGAGTTGGTCCACTGTGCTTCATTAAGTCCAGGGTCAACACAGCCGTCTACCAGGAGATTTTGGAGCACTTCATGCTTCCGAGCTTTATGGGGATGCTGACTTCATTTTCCAGCAGGACTTGGCACCTGCCCACACTGCCAAAAGCACCAAAACCTGGTTCAATGACCGTGGGATTACTGTGCTTGATTGGCCAGCAAACTCGCCTGACCTGAACCCCATAGAGAATCTATGGGGCATTGCCAAGAGAAAGATGAGAGACATGAGACCGAACAATCCAGAAGAGCTGAAGGCCGATGTTGAAGCATCCTGGTCTTCCATAACACCTCAGCAGTGCCACAGGCTGATAGCTTCCATGCCACACCGCATTGAGGCAGTAATTGCTGCAAAAGGGGCCCAAAGCAAGTACTGAGTACATATGCATGCTTATACTTTTCATAGGTCCAATATTGTTCTATGTACAATCCTTGTTTTATTGATTGCATGTAATATTCTAATTTTCTGAGATTGTGGATTTGGGGTTTTCATGAGCTGTAAGTCATAATCATCACAATTATGACAAATCACGGCTTGAACTATCTTGCTTTGCATGTAATGAGTCTATCTCATATATTAGTTTCACCTTTTAAGTTGCATTACTGAAATAAATGAACTTTTGCACGATATTCTAATTTTTCAAGTTTCACCTGTATATAGGGAGCACTGTGAAGTCAAGGACTTTCTACCCAATCAGTATGGACTAGAGGCATCAGGGACCCTAATGTCTACATAAAGATCAGCTACCTCTGTACTATATCTAAAAGAGGAACTTCACTTTTTTAATTTTAGTCCCTCACCCATCCCCCCCCCCCCCCTTTGCCCTAGGTGTTTTTTTAAATACACAACTAATATTCAAATTTTCTGAGATTGTGGATTTGGGGTTTTCATGAGCTGTAAGCCATAATCATCACAATTATGACAAATCACGGCTTGAACTATCTTGCTTTGCATGTAATGAGTCTATCTCATATATTAGTTTCACCTTTTACGTTGCATTACTGAAATAAATGAACTTTTCAACGATATTCTAATTTTTCGACTTTCACCTGTATGTGTGCATAGGATAACATGCTGGGGTAGTTTGCATGTTCTCCCTTGTGTGGGTTTTCTCCAGTTTCCTCCAACACTCCAAAGACTTGCTGAGGAGCCACTGCTTGATTATCGACCCCTAGAGAAGGATATCTATGGATGGGGAAAGTGGATCAGTGGATATCAGTAGATGCTGAGAGGATTTGAGGGTTTGATCCCACTATACACTTTGACCTTCATGGGTCGAAGCCTGGAGGTGAGAGGCTAATCTAGCCGTGTGTTGGAGTTTCTGCACCTGGAGTCACTTTATGATCACGTGTGCTTGCAATTGCAGTAGTGGTGTCACCCACCTATTGGACATTTGTCTACACATTTTTTATTTTTGTTTGTGTTTTAGTGTGACATTTTTTGCACCATATTTGTATGATTGATCACAGTTTAATTACTACAATCATTTATTGCTTTCCTGTGTTAGAATTTTTCACAAGATTGTTAATACACAGTATTTATACATTATGTTTTTTATGATATTAGTTTTAAAATATATTTTTTTGACCACTATGACCACTTGATTATTATATGTATATTCATCTCACAAGGTGTATTGTATGTGTTATATATACTTAAAAAAAAATTTTTGATTAGTATTTTTTAAGTTCTATGAGTAGCGCCACATTTTTTTGATTTTTATTTTTTTAGATCATGGGTATTTGATGTAGTGTTGGCGGCTTCTCTCTTTAGTTGATTGAATACAATTTTTTGGTGTTTAGTAGTGTGGGAGGTTCACACCATCCCTGTTAGTTCATATTATATTTTATATTTTATATTTTTTGGTTATTCAGTAGCGCAGGAGGTTCACACCATTCATGCTGGGGAGTTTACTGGCTGTAGAAAAAAACATCAAAAGCCAAAACAGCCGCTGTAAAAACGTCCAGTGTGCATGAGGACTTAAGTTGACTGATGTGAATATACAATATATATATATATATGTAAAGCGCTGTGTAAATTGACAGGTCTATACAGGTACCTGAAATAAATAAAAAATAAATAAATAAAGCTGACCATACGCTGCTTGAATTATACATATGCAGTCACTGTCCAGGAATTCAGCAGATGAAATAGCTGTTTTGTGTGGGTGGGGTAATTGATTATTTTTTCTTGTTTAACCAGCAGGGCCGAATGAGAGACATCTAATAATATAAGGCTAGCTTTAGGGCCTGTTTTTTAGACAAATGTACTTTCATTACTTCTGATAGGATAACAGATTTTGCTAGGTTCCTCCATAACGTATGGAATTTCTTCTGCTTGGCTTTTCTTCTCAGGATGTCTTTTGACTTAATAAACTGGTTAAAGTGCCTCTAAAGGAACTTTTTTTTTACATTAAATTAAAAAAGATGTTATACTTACTTGCTCTCTGCAATGGTTTTGCACAGAGTGGCCCCTTACCTTCTCTTCTGAAGTTCCCCACCAGTGCTCTCCGCTACACTTTTTCTGCAGGTGCCCCCACAGCAAGCTGGCTACTGAGGGGGCATCTGCATAGGTGCACTCCCAAGCCAGGCTGTGTGCATCCATATACACACACAAAGCGCAGCTCAGCCATGTCGCTGCTTCCTCCTTACAGGATTTGACTGACAGCAGCAGGAGCCCGTGGCACCCATTGCTTTCAGTATCTTCTGTGAGAAAAAGAAGAGAGTATTGGCTCTGCAAATGGGACAGTGGTGAATTGATGGAGGAGGGGACACAGAAAACTTTAATGCAACATATGCCTCTTCTCATTTCCTTCATTAAGCTCTTTTCTTACTTCATACATGCAAACGTTTTGAACTGGTTGCTTTTACAAACGTATAGTTTTGCTTTCTACAAGGGAAGCAACTTTCCTACATACAATCTACGATACAATATATTTATAAATATTTTCTTTGTCCCACCAGCAAGAACAAAGAAAATATTTTTAGGGTCAACCCCCACCTATATCATCACTGTACATATGACTTACAGCTGAAATCTGGAAAACTAAAAAGTCCTCCTTACAAGGGTTAACTCCTTGTTTAGGTAATTAGCAATAAAGGTCTGCACACCACTGTTATCTACACCTCCATCTCCAAACATTCTAAACAAAGAGCCAGTAAGCTGTCCTTCAGACTTTAGGGGGGCTGAACTGTGGCCATTAGGAGTAGAAAAGGTCCAAACGTAAGTAGGAAACAACAATGCACCATCTTTTTAGTCAGTGGGATGAATTTTGCCCCATCATTGGTGTCATTGGATCCCATTGTAGGTGTCATTGGGAGAAATTGTACCCTTTCATTGATGTCATTGGAAGGAATCATGCCACATTGTTGATGTCATTGGGAGGCATTGTGCTTCATCATTAATGTCATTGGAAGGAATTGTGCTACATTGTTGATGTCATTGGGAGGCATTGTGCTTCACCATTAATGTCATTGGAAGGAATTGTGCTACATTGTTGATGTCATTGGGAGGAATTGTGCCCCTTCATTGATGTCATTGGAAGGAATTGTGCTACATTGTTGATGCCATTGGGAGGAATTGTGCCCCATCATTGATATCATTGGAAGGAATTGTGCTACATTGTTGATGGCATTGGGAGGAATTGTGCTACATTGTTGATGTCATTGGGAGGAATTTGTGCTACAATGTTTATGCCATTGGGAGGAATTGTGCTACTTTGTTGATGTCATTGGAAGGAATTGTGTTACATTGTTGATGCCATTGGAAGGAATTGTGCCCCATCATTTATGTCATTGGAAGGAATTATGCTACATTGTTGATGTCATTGGAAGGAATTGTGCTACAATGTTGAAGCCATTGTGAGGAATTGTGCTACATTGTTGAAGTCATTGGGAGGAATTGTGCCCCATCATTGATGTCATTCGAAGGAATTTTGCTACATCGTTGATGACATTGGAAGTAATTGTGCTACATCGTTGATGGCATTGGAAGTAATTGTGCTACATCGTTGATGGCATTGGAAGTAATTGTGATACATTGTTGATGGCATTGGGAGGAATTGTGCCCCTTCATTGATGTATTGGAAGGAACTGTGCCCCTTCATTGATGTCATTGGAAGGAATTGTACTACATTGTTGATGTCATTGGGAGGAATTGTGTCCCTTCATTGGTGTCAGTGGTGGCTAATTATGCCCCATTGTTGGCATCAGTGGATGAAATAGTGCCGCAAGGGCCAGATAAAAGCAAGCAAAGGGCCGCATCTGGCCCCCCAGGCCAGATGTTTGGAGACCACTGACTACATCAGTGTTTCTCAACCTTTTTTCAATCATAGCACTGTAAAATATTATGCTCAATCTCAAGACACCCCGTTCTAAAATGTAAAAAGCTTAAAAAATAGTGTAACAATACCCCCAAAGGAGCCACCTGGTGCTTTTGGGTTCTCTGTTCTGCTCCTTGACTCCAAGAGCAACCTCTACCCCGCTACCACAACTGGTTAAATAATAATCACTGCATGCAGGTATAAAGACACAAGTGTAAATACCTTCAACCTGGCTGTCGGTGACTTCCAGAAAATAGAGACACACACCTACCGTATATACTCGAGTATAAGCCGACCCGAATATAAGCCCAGGTATCTAATTTTACCACAAAAAAACTGGGAAAAACTATTGACTCGAGTATAAGCCGAGGGTGGGAAATGAGGCACCTACTAGTCAATGTAAAAAATAAAGATAGAGACCAATAAAATCACATGAATATTTGTGGGGTGTCAGTGGGGGGAGGAATAGTGCCCCATCGTTGGTGTCAGTGGGGGGAGGAATAGTGCCCCATCGTTGGTGTCAGTGTGGGGAGGAATAGTGCCCCATCGTTGGTGTCAGTGGGGGGAGGAATAGTGCCCCATCGTTGGTGTCAGTGGGGGGAGAATAGTGCCCCATCGTTGGTGTCAGTGGGGGGAGGAATAGTTCCCCATCGTTGGTGTCAATGGGGGGAGGAATAGTGCCCCATCGTTGGTATTAGTGACACCAATGATTGGGCACTTTTCCTCCCACTGACACCAATGATACTTACCTTGCTGACCCCTGCTCCAGCCTCGGCTCGCTCGCTCACTCCCTCCCTCTCCCATGGTACACACTTACCGGTCAGATGTCTTCCTTCTCCGGCCGCTCTCCTCCTCTTCACTCGCTCGATCTTCGCGGTGCCGCTCGGCTCCTCCTCTCCAAGCTCCACCTCCTCACCGGTGATTGGGCGCCTGTGTGCCTCTCCTGAGCTACAGTTCCGGCGGCCAATCACCGGCGAGGATTGATCCCGGGGGTGTGTCCAGATGACAGGGACGGCATGTCATCCCGCAGACGTTGACTCGAGTATAAGCCGAGGGGGCCGTTTTTCAGCACAAAAAATGTGCTGAAAAACTCGGCTTATACTCGAGTATATACGGTATTTAGTGGTAAATGCACTTACGGTAATCTATTGATAGAGGTTAGAATAAATGGCAGTTTGAACATAAATGAGCACTCAGTGGGAACGTTCAAACATACTCAGCTAGACAGAGTAATAACAATACCAATGTAACTTAGAATCAGGTTCAATACCACTTAGCTGGAAACAATATGTGACTGCAATTTAGCAATAAACTGTGCAAATAAATATTAAAGTATATGTAAACCTTCACCTTGTAAAACAACCCATTCAGTTAAAAATAGAAATGCAAGGCAAAACATTTGTATATAGATATAAAAAAAAAATATAAATAACTTTTACCCTTTTTTATCTTATACCATCTGTTCTCAGCTGCAGAAGGAGCTCAGGGTGGAGAAACAGCAGCACACTGATCTTCCCAGTGAATGGCTGTGTGGGGGGAGAGGCGTGTCAGCACAAGCCTGATAATTGGATTAACTCCCAGTACAGCCAGAAAACTGACCATGCTGCAGTCTCATGCTTAGTGTGGTCAATTTTTAATAGGAAAGCAGAGGGACTGGCAGGAACACCAGGGGTTTCACACAAAGGAAAATTAAATGCAGGATTTCTTTATTCATAGTATGAATAATATTACACTGGATTAGATTGCACTCTAAGGGATTGGCTAGGGTATGATGTAGCAAATCTAAAGAGGTACCTGTTTAACTAAGAAAAGGGGCAAAGACCTTGGATTGCAACCATTAAGGGGCAGTCTTTAGTCCTGACTTTTCAGTATCCTCTGCGCAGATGCATCTTCAGGGGCATCATCATTCTCTTTTTAGTCTTGCCGCCGCTGACAAGGGGAGGGGGGGGGTGAGGGGGGGAAACTATCCAGAGCCCGCAGCTTTCATTAATAACCATTCATTGTGTACTATTGTGTTGATCTCTGTGATTGGTCACAGTGATCACATGGTACAGACAGGGCCAATCACAGTGCATCTGTACCATGTGATAGCAGTGGCCAATGACAGCTTGATATTAGCACATACTGGATGAATGGATGCCATTCATAAAAAGGATTGCTTATAATAGTTATTATCCCTGTTATAAGGAGAGCGCATTAAAAAAAATATCCCGATCACCTCCCCAGAGTAGTACAGTGTCACTATGCTAACACTGTACTGTCCTGGTCGCAGTATGTAAAAAAAATCGTAAAAAAAAAAAACAAATGTAATAAAAAAGAAAACAAATGTTTAAAAAAAACCTATTTATTTATTTTTTACATACTGTCATCAGTCAGTGTCCCTGATTACCGCCACACTAGTTATATGATTCTGTACTGCACTGTATGTAAAAAAATTGTGAAAAAAAACACATTTTAGAAAATTTCTTTATTTTACAAAAATTTGTAACATTTGTGCTAAATATTGCAACTTCAAAAAACTTGCAGTGTCTCTCACTAAATACCTTGTACTGTCTGCTTTCCAAATGGGGTCATGGGGGTCAACTGTCCTGGCATTTTCAAGCCTCAAGATGTGAAACAGGCCATCAATACATCAGGACTGATTGATTTTCAAATACTGTATACTGTTTATACTATAGTTGTGGACTCTATAACTTCCCTACAGTCTGAATAATATACATTGAGTTCAGTTGTTTTTACCAAAGAAATGTAGCAGAAAACAGTTTGGTCAAAATTTATGAAGAAAGATTATTTGCAACATTTTTCAACAGAAACAAAGAAAAATGCATTTTTTCCAAAAATGTCAGTCTTTCTTTGTTTATTTAGTAAAAAAAAAAAAAATCCTCAGTGGTGATTAACCACTTGCCTACCGGGCACTTATACCCAATTTTCATCTTTCAGCGGTGTCGCATTTTGAATGATAATTGCGCAGTCATGCAACACTGTACCCATATCACATTTTTATAGTTTGTTTCACACAAATATAGCTTTCTTTTGGTAGTATTTACTTGCCGCTGGGTGTCTTATTTTTTGTACTATAAACAAAAAAAGAGGAAAAAAAAAAGTTTTTCTTTGTTCCTATTTCAAAATTTTGCAAACAGGAAATTTTTCTCCTTCACTGATGTGCATTGATGAGACTGCACTGATAGGCAGCACTGATGGGCACTGATAGGCAGCACTGATGGGCACTGATAGGCAGTGCTGATGGGCACTGATAGGCAGCACTGATGATGAGGTGGCACTGATGGGCGGCACTGACTGAGACAGGTGGCACTGATGATGTACACTGACTGGCAGCACTGCTGGGCACTGATGGGTGGCACTGCTGGGCGCCACTGATGGATGGCACTGCTGGGCTCCACTGATGGATGACACTGCTGGGCTGCACTGGTGGGCACAGGTGGGTGGCACTGGTGGGCACAGGTGGGTAGCACTGCTGGGGACTTGTGGGCGGCACTGCTGGGCACTTGTAGGAGGAACTGGTGGGTGGCACTGCTGGGCACCAATCATCACGGAACTGATCATCAGTGCCCTGATTATCAGTGCCGATCCCTCCTCTGACAACTTGGTTTTGTGACAACATGAGGAAAGTGCAGCCGATAACCGGCAACTGCATTTTCCGGGAATCGGTGTGTCATTGGTCATGGCTGATCACTTGGTAAAGGGCCGCTGTGATTGGCCTTTTACCATACCACATGATCAGCTGTGTCCGTCCGTAGTGTTTAACCACTTGCCGACTTGCGGTCCGCAAGTGGTTAAATACCACCATCACTGTCATTCAGCCTGGGTTCACACTTGTGCGGTGAGGCATACTGCATGTGATTCGCACAGGAACCGCACCGCATTCCTGTGCAAATCAAATGCGATTTCTGTGCAGTGCGATTTGAGCCATATATTTTGTATGTCTCAAATCACACCACATTCGCACTAAAAAGGTGCAGGACACTTTTTGTGGTCCAATCCGATTCTGCACATCGCACTGCGTTTTACAAACTGATTACGGGTGTTGTTAACTTAAAATACATGCCCGCAATTGTTTCGGGTGAACGGGGTGCGATTATGATGTGGCACAGAAATTTTGCACCGCATCAGTGTGAACCCAGGCTGAAAGTGACAGTGCTGAAAGCTGAAAATTGGGCTGGGCAGGAAGGAGGTGAACATGTCCAGTATTGAGGTGGTTAATACAGCTTTATTGCTAAAGAATGTTTGTTATGTGGGTAAGTAAAACAGTTTTTACATCCTCTAGACTAAACATGCTGTTAACTCTTTCAGTGTGGGGGGCATACCCACTGCAAAGAAAGACTATTCAGTTCTCTGGAGATCAGATTTAAAGATTTCAGTGGTGAACTGCATGTTAAGATTTGTAGTCAAAATGCATCCATATGGCCAGTTGGTATTGACTTAACATTTATTTATTTATTACAGGTACTTGTATAGGGCTGTCAATTTATGCAGTGCTTTGCATATATATTGTACATTCACATTGGTTCCTAACCCTCAAGGGGTATACAATCTAAAGGTCCCTAACTCACATTCCTACATACACATACTAGGGCCAGTTTGGACAGGAACCAATTAACCTACAAGCATTTCTTTGAGTGTAGGAGGAAACCGGAGTTCCCGGAGGAAACCCAGACAGGCACAAGGAGAACATGCAAACTCCAGCCAGGTGATGCCATGGTTGGGAAGTGAGCCGATGACCCTAGTACTGCCAGGCGGAAGTGCTAACCATTTAGCCACTGTACCGCCCCACATCTGCAGTGTTTACACTCCTACAATGCTGCATTTTTTTGTAGATGTGGTTGGTGCATTTACGAATCATGGAACTCAGATTTCCAAATTCAAAAACAGATATTTAAAATGATATTTTCTAAATAATACATTTATATTCAGCAATACCATTTAGATTGCTGTTATGTTTATTTTATGCCTTGGTTTCAGCTTTAAAGAGACACTGTTGCCAGACCTCTCACTTAAACCACAATCCTTCCTTAGTAATACTGTATATACTATAAACTTATTTTGGTTATGTTTTGTTTCTGTTAAAGTCTAAGTTTAGTCAAAATTAAAGAAAAAAAAAAGCTGCACAAGGGACTGTACATACAGTCAATGAAAATTGTCCCTTGTGCTTGTCCCTTGTGTGGACTGAGGTTTTATCTCCCCTGATCTCCCAAACCTCCCACAGCCATAATCTTCCTATGATGAGGGGGGTCATAGGCACCTGTCAAGAGGCAGTCTGTTTTTTTATCCAGCTGTATTCCATTTATAGAACACTTTTTATTGATAGAAGCTATAGTACTTCTATGAATAGAAAGGGGGACGGAAAGGCCCAACATAACAGGTCCCTTGGCTTTTGTTAACCCCCACAGCACCAGAAGATTATAGGTGTGGGGTGTTAGGGGTTGGTCAGAGGACTTTAAATTTCAACTAAAACCACAGCCAGCAGCCTAAAGGACAAGTCACATTGGCTGTAAGT